AAATTATCAATAACATGAATTTTAAAAAACTAAAAGATTAATACACTTTCAAAAAAGACAATAATTATTCAAAAATGATATAATATTAAACTATAATAGCTATTGCCAAAGATATAAAGATTATTGTAGAATAGATATTAGTTCGTTTTTGTAAGATATTGATAAAATAGATTAATAGTCCATAGAATAGTCAGTTTAAGAGGACGGATGGTTGATTTAGTTATTAAAAGTGATTAATTACAAGATTACGGTTAGGATCTGGAAATTAGTAGCAATTATATAGGAGTTGTAGAAGTCTGTTGGGGGGCTAGACTATGATAGTCATGAACCAGGGTTAAGCTTGGTGCTTCTTTTTTATTTTTTTTATTTTCTTTGTTGTTGAAGAGTAATGGATAGTTTCTGAATACTGAGAAGTGATTCTATGGAATAAATCAGAGATTGATTTATGAATTATTGATTATGTAATTGGAGTACTAAGTGATTAAATTATATGAGAAGTTATTGGAAGATTGATTATGGATGGAAGATTATGATTGTTGTTTATTGAGAGTTGTGTGCATGTATTTCGAAAGAGGAAGTTTGTGATTACAAGAATTCTGTGAATTCAGATTGGTTGGAGTGAAGTCTATTATTCTTGGTGTTAGATGGAATTTATTGAGTTCTGAGCGATCTTTTGAGAATGCAAGGTTGCACATTGTGGTTATCAGTTGATGAAGGAGTATTGTTACTGGAAAAAAGCATTGTAGTATTTCTTTATATTTTAGTGGTTCAGAATATAGTTAATTGTGTGATCCTAACAAGTGAAACTCATGTGCTTAGTCTTTCTCTGTCTTCGAATTCTCCTATATAGGTTTATTCTGGAAGGAATTGTAGAATAAGTAAAACAACAATCACAATTAAAAAGTATTAAAACAAGACTAAGAATTACAAAGGCATTGAGAAGAATGATGAAGTCTCTACTCTTACCTACATATAGACTATCTAACTAAAAGCTACATGACAATGTTTTATAAGACCTCTAATACATGTCTAATTTACAAGACATATGTCTTAACTTACAAGGCAAGTTTTTTATATGTGTGCCATATTATTGCCTTGTACCACAAGCAACCAACATGTGTAATACATGGCTAACTTATTGGCCAAATATTTAACCTACTAATTAACTACAAATAAGTATAAAATCAAATACATGTCTGTAAAGCTTTTGAAAAGCTGTGCCAGCAGATAATATTGAATCTGGTTATATTTATTTTCTATCTAGCACTTCTTATTTAAATAAATATGTATGTTCATCAAATTTATTGGGACAAGGTAGAGAGTTTATCTTAAAGTGGTGTTGGCAATATCAATGCTATTTCAAATTGACTATAGATCTATAGAAATATCAATATTGCTAGCACAAAAAATCAAAATGCATACTATGTTGCAATCTCCAACAATTAATAGATCACGAAGTATTAGTACTAGTCAAAGCGGTTATATCATATACAATAGCGAAAGAGCTCTGCTCAAATTTTGATTTCAAAGTAGTATAGCTACTTGTAATCCCTCTTTTAATTAAAAAACTTCTATGTTGTAATAAGATTTTTATATACTTATGATTATTGAATATTTAAAGAATATACTTTTTAATTTGATATTATTTAGATTTTTATATATAGGTGAGGTTTAATTTCTATTCTTTGAAACTAAACAAAGTGATACATAGAAATTATCTTTGAATAAAAAGATTAAGTCAATTAAGTAATTATTTAAATTCTATGTGTTGATTTATTTACAATGGAAAGAATGGCTTAGGTTTCTTTTATCTAAGATTGTAAACATGTTTTAAAATACAAATCTTTCTACAAGGACTCACAAGCTTATTCATAGCTAGTATTTCTAAGCAAGATTTGATTCAAAGATTTGTAATAAAAACTAAGGAGACAATAATAATGACAATTATTCGGAAGAAAAGATGATGATTGGAAAGAAAGAAAGAAGGTAGAAATTGGAATTGAGAAAGGAGATAGAAGCTAAAAATAAAGCAAGAAGATCAAAATTAGGGTTGAAAACGAAGATAGAGGCTGAGAACAGAGAAAATGGAGATATAACATAGAAGTGTACAATGATGGTTTAGATAGATGGATCAATTTAATAAAATTCTTAGTCATTTTAAATTTTATATCTTATATAAAAATATATATATTATATAAAAATTTATTAAAAAGAAAATTACAAAAATTAAGAGAAATTAAATACTATTATAAAAAAATATTAGATATATTAAAATTTTGATAATTATCTAATGATTTTTTTTGATACCATTAATTATTTACTTGTAGTAAAAAAATACTATTATAACTAATTTTTATATTAGTTTAATAAATAAAATTAATTAAGAGTAAATGTGGACAAAAAATATTTCAAAGAAATTTCTTAAATATCAATTAGATATTTAGATTTCTATAGACATGCCAATTAGCTATAAAAATTAGTTCTACAAGTTTTTGACTTTTAAACAACCGCATTGATACAACTTGATATGTAGAACAAAAGGCTCAAGGTTTTTTAGAAGTTTTATAGCATCTTTTTAATAGTTAGTATAAATAGAGATAAGAGTGGATCCATCTTCAATTATATTAATGTATTTTTTGTAGTCTAATCTTAGTTTAAGAATTTTCATTCATTGAATATTTGGCATTAATCTTTTTAATTAGTATTTATCTTATATTTTTTTATTTCTTCTTTCTTTCATTATTCTTTAATAATACATGAATGTATATTTCTTTGATTTTTTTCTCAATTTTTATTCTTAATAAGTAAAAAATAAATGGAAAGAGCAAACTTTAAAAAGCAATGTAGATCAATAATATAGATCATCTATCTATTTAAAATACTTTACTTTTAATGTGCATTACTAGAATGTACAAGTATCATGGAAAACTTAAGAAAAAAATAAAAATAAAATAACATGGATGTATAATAGTGCACCAAATTAATCAAAAACAAATATAACAAGAAGCAAAATGATTGCATAATTGTACACTTAGATAATTAATACATTTACAAAATGATTAGAAAGAAATAAAATTTATTTAAATTTACAATGCATATGTTTATATGAAAGAAGACAAAGAACAAAGAATAAAGAGCTAAGAATTAAAAGTTTTTTTTAATTTTAGTATTAAAAAATAATAAATCTATTTTTTTTGTTTTTATAAATAAAGTTGTATTAATCTCAGTAATTTTTCATGTACAAGCTCTTGTTAATTTCATAGGTTTAAGAATATATATTTAACTTTTTAAAAATTATGAAAAAATATAATATACACAATCCTAAAAAATTCCTTTTAAAAAGCATATAGATGTCATAAAAAGTATAATAAAATGATATTTTTACAATATTTTCATTTATTAATTCAAAGACAACTTTATGGTAATTTTTGCAATAAATTTTTAATATTAATCATATATTTTTTTAAAACATCAATTTGTATTAAAACTGGTTATAAATTTTAGAAGTCTGAATGCCTCTCATCTTCTCTTCATTATGTTTCTATTTTCTTTTATATATCCTTCTATCAATTTTATAAGTTTCTTTTAGTGCTTAGTCATATCCATTTGTCATCCTTAATTAAATTATATTTATTGTTCTAGTTTTCAAATAAATATACTAATTCTTTGTACATAAAGAAGTTTTTATATTCTTGTACTGAATAAATATCATTTAATTATACTTTTTTTCATTTATCTATTGGAATTTGAAATAATAATCTATAAAAACTTAATTGAAAGCCAATATTTCATATCAAAAATTTATATTTTGTATCTCTTTATTATTACATATATATATATATATATATATATATATATATATATATTATGTATTTATTCAAAAAATTATTTTTTTTCAAAAATTATATATATATATATATATATGAAATATAAATAGAAAATTTTTAATATTTTTATTTTGTAATTTTATAAGAATTATCCTATATGAAATATTTAAGAATTTATAACTAATTTATTTATCATTATTTAAATGAAAGAATAAAAAAATGGATTTAAAAGTTTAAGATAAATTAATCTTCGTTTGGAATAATGTCAATATCAAATCTTTTAACTATTGATGTTTTATTGATAGTTATTATACTAAATTCTATAATAATAATAATAATAATAATAATCATGAAATGTGGTAGTTTGTTAATTTTGTAGCTTCCACTATTAAAAAAGGTTGTTATTAAATTTATTTAATATTATAATTTTAAAATTTGGTAGTTTTATTAGACTTTGTTTCTTATAAATACATGGTTAAAACAAAGAAGTCAATCAAAATTCACATAATTTTCTTTCTTGCTGAATAGTACAATTGTTTACAATTATATACATGTGAATATGCATACATGTTTATATTCTATTATCACAATAGATTTTTTTGGTGAAGCAGGCCGGAATTAGGTATTCTCCGGCTGTCTTGGAGTCAGACTGAATATGACCCTGTGACCGCGGGAACCTAGTAGTTGCAATTATGACATTTTCTTTCTAAAATTTTTATTTCATTTTTATTTTTTAGATTTTTTATTTTATACCACTTGGTTAGTTGTATGTGCCATTGGCCAACCTCATCAATGGTTTAGATCCATTAATTTAATAACTAATTTTGATTAATACTACATGCTAATGACAACAAGCCAAAGATTTTTTGAAGCAGGCCGGAGAATACCTAATTCCGCGATTATTCGTTTAAGCAAGGTTCAGGATAAAGTGAAGAGCAGTGTGAACGGGTTTACGACACGATTGATCCACAACCAGACCGGTTCGATAACAACGCTCTCATCTATGAGAACCACGTTCCCATCTTCAAAAAAATTGAAATCCAGGCCAGTTCAAATTCAAAACCACCATCTATATATATAGATACAATACAAAATACAAAATACGAGACGGAGTGCGCAAATACACATATTCTACATAGAAATCCACAATCATCGGAGATATTGGCCCCAGGGGAGAAGAAGCCAGAGGCGGTATAGCCAGCCCCAGTTCAAGGTTCTGCTGGATGAGCACTGGCCTCGTTTGTTCCGCCCACGCCATGAATCGGATCACGAGCAGAGGCAGCACTCCATGATTTCCCGCCGCGCACGTGAGCCATCATCCGATTCAAACTCCTGGCCACGTTTTCGTGGGGGGACTGATTACTTGGTGCATTTCGGTGCAGCAGCAACGATCAAGTGGGAGGTGGAAGACATTGAATGCGGTGGGAAGCTGGGAGAGGAGAGGTCCCTGAGTTTCTGGTGCGTAAAGTTGTATTTTCATGCGTTTGATTGTTGGTTGCGGAGTTTCGTGGTTGGGTTGTGTTGGGTTGGATCGGTACCAGTCCAGCTCTGGATCCTAGTCGAGCATTGTGGATCCTACGTGTTGTGTTTAAGATTTTTTTTTTTTTGTTTTTGAATTTTCGAATTTTTTATTTTTGATTTTGATTTTTTCAAGTGTTAGTTTTGGTTCGTGGTGTTTGTTTTGGAGTGGAAGGGATGATGTGAAGGAAGTTGGGTCGTGTCGTTGTGGAATTACACTAGGGTTAGGGTTGTGGGTTTCACGTTTAAGTTGAAGGTGTGGGTTTTTTTCTTTTTTATTTATTTTTTTTCTTTTTTATATCTGCATGACACGGGCGGGATTTGGCAAAGTGCAGAAACAATGGGAAGCTTTATTGAAGTGCTCCGGGAGCAGATGACGTTCTTGTTGGAACAGGGCCTTTACGATTCGGCCGAAATGCTGGTGTGTATCTCAATTTGCTTATGTGCTGTTTGATTTTAGAAGAGTTGCTTTGCTGCCTCAATTGATGGTCGCAGTTGGCACTGAGACTCCTTTTGTGCACTCTGAATGGCAGGGTACATTTTTGATGAGCTTAGTCTCTGCCAACGGCGAGCTTTCACCTATTTCTCGCGCTGAGAGTATGGTAACGAGCTTACCTTCTTGCAGCTGATTCACGATGGAATTCCAATTTCTGATTATGTGTTGTACATTTGTGAAACTCTGACAATAGGTGATGTGGTTGCTGTTAGTAATAATCGTTGATTCCCTTGTGAGAGATATCAGCCAGCACCACACCTCGCCCTCCCTTACCACTACGTCATCCCTTTTAACCTAAAAAATCATATTTAGCTCTCATGAACAAGTCTGTTTGGTAAATCTTTTGCAGATTCTGTATGGAGATGCCTTGTATGGGCGGAAAGAGTTCCGCCGAGCTTTGGTAAGTACCACTGCCATGATTTCGAATGTGGACCATGTGACATTTTAGTTCTGTGACTGATTTAGTTATTGCTAAGTCACGAAATTGTTTACGGGAGTGATAGTACGTGCCAAATGGCTCATTTTTAATCTATGTGTTAAGCAGTTGCGTGCTTTTGCTGCCAGAATGTGTACAGGCAGGCACTTCAATTGTGTCGTGCCACTTCAAAGCAACCTATGAGCAGTGCTCGTACTCCTGTGCAGTCAAGACCGTCCTCTGCAGCAAGCGCCGTTCATGACTCTAAAATTAATGAGAACGAGGTTGGCTTCTTTTCATGGACCTTGCAGCTTTCCTCATTTATGTCCTCATTAGGTGAATCACTTTGGGAGTAGGTTTGAGCTTCTTCGAAGCCGCTTCGCATACAAAATCAAAAGATTTGAGGTTCAATGCTTTCCTATTCCTAATGTAGTATTTCTTGAAATTTAACGACTGAATGAACCCTTCGAGCAAAATTTTCCTTATAATACACAAAGATTTCAGTATTTGGGTTTTATTTTTGGTTAGCAGGTGAAATTCAAGATTGGGCTTTGTCACCTTGCTGTTAATGACACCCGAGCTGCACTTTCAGAGGTCAGACAATCCGCTTCGTCTCTTTGGTATTATGGTATGTTCGACATGTCTTCTGTCTACTCGTTGAGGGAAGTACTCTTTTTAATCAAAGTGCATTGATGTGAAACTTTACAATGCAGATGGAGGGGATTCCATCAAAGGCAAGGAGTCTTCGCATGAATCTTACATTAGCCAAGTTATATCGGATCACAGGCTATGATCGTGTAGCTACTGCATCTTATCGAGAATGTTTAAGGTAGCAGTTGGTGCTCTACTTGAAGCAACTGCTTAGACTTCAACATGATTTTTGCGTAACTACGCAGAACTTTCTGTTTCTATAGTTGTCTATGAACTTTGAAGCATAAGAGATGTTCTAGAGTGCGTGAATGGTTTTTCGTGGACATTTAGCAAGTTAACAAACAAAAGATCACTCAATTGGTCTCTCATATGCCTAATGATATCGCTGATCAAATTGCAGGCAATGTCCATATGTTTTGGAGGCTATTGTTGCTTTGGCAGAACTTGGAGTTCCATCCAAAGATATACACGCGCTGTTTCCTCAGGTGAGGTTACTCGAATACCGTCTTTCATTGGCAAATTTTACCCTTCAGTGCTCGGAAGAAAACTTATGGAACTCCGAACAGTATTCAGTTATTTTCTGAATTCCGTTTCCTCCTACGCAGGGTCAAAGCAAGATTAGTCGGTCAACAACTGACTGTCTCGATCCCGTACGGTGGTTACAGGTATGCTATTTTTATAATTCTTGGAATGGTGCTGGCCTAGCATGTTTTTAGCCCAAGAGGGTTCGATTCTCTATTTTAATTATGTAGGTTGAAGTTGTTACTTGTAGTGTTTTACTTTTAAGTGTTATGTAGAACATATCTAACCTCTTCAAGACAATGTCTTCCTCTGTCTTTCTTCTCTTGCAAACCTTGTTCTCATTCAACACGTTACCTCAAACTCCTTTTGTGCTTTGAGGTCTGTACGTATGTAAATTTTCGCCTTGGACAGTTTTTCTGATTGATTAGCCCAAAACTTACTGGTTTACAGAGGTTTGCTGATGGCCATTCTAGCATTGCGACACACGACTATAAGGGTACGCTACTTTCCTCAGTGCCTCTCGGCTGATTTTTAATCTGTCTTATTCGTCAGATTTTGAATTGAGTTTCATGGCTTTTTCCTTAGCCTTAACGCATTGTGTATGTGCCATAAATTGAGACTTGACAGCATTGTACGATATTTGGCCCATGTCTGCACACAAGTGCATGAAGTTTTTTCTATTTTGGGTTGGTTTCCTTGGATATCCACGATTATTGTCAGATGAGTCGTCTCAATACAGGCGGTTTGGAGCACTTCAATAATCTTGCACAACGCTTCCCCAATAATACACATCTTTTACTAGAAAACGCCAAGGTGGGTATTTGTGCAATTCTGACACCCGATGACCCAGCGTTTATACTATATCCATCTCGTGCATATATTACATTGCTTTCCTGTTTTTATGATTTCAATATTGGGCAAGGACCCTGCTATTGGTATTTCCATGTATCTAAACATCTCTTTCGGTGCAGGCAGAAATGGCAATAATGAAGAACGATGAAGCTGCCCACAGTTTTGAGAAGGTATTTGTTTCACTCCTACAAATTATTCGTTCTTATGCAGCAATGAGGGACGAATTTGGCGTATATTTATTTGTTTCACAATATTCAAATTACTCCTGATACCTTCGATTGGCAAACTAAAGTTCAAACGTATTCAACTGCTCACTTTCACTTCTGAGATTGCGATGTCCGATTGTAGGGAATGATTTGTTAGACTAAAAATGAACGATATCTGTTCTCTTGGCAGTCTCGGCAAATTGATCAATTCAATATATCAAGTATGGATGAGTACGCAATGCTTCTACGTAATCGTGGAGATCATATGGAATTGAACCGACTGGTCCACGAGCTTATCAATATTGATTCAACAAGACCTGAGGTTTGGGTTGCTGCCGCTGTTTACTGGGAGATGCGAGATGATAAAATTAGAGCTCTCACCTACGCAGACAAAGTATGGTTTCTCTCTCTCTCTCTCTCTCTCTCTCTCTCTCTCTCTCTCTCTCTCTCTCTCTCTCTCTCTCTCTCTCTCTCGCAAATGTGACTATGTTTCATAAAGAAATGACATTGGGGCTTGTTAAGTTCTCATTGTATGCAGTTTTAAGTGCACTGCGTTTGAACCAAGGTGGGAATTCTTGCTCAGTTCAATTCTGCAGCTAGCTTTAGAATTGCAATCAAGTATGATGGAGACGCTTTTTGTAACTCTTTGCATAAGTAGATACCCATACAGTATCAACTAGAGTTGCAGCGGTTGACTATCCTGCTTCAAGGTGTTGTGTAGGTCCTTGTGTCGTCTAGCAAGCAATTGATAAACCGTTACCTAACCTATCTCATGCTTACTGATTTGCTTCCCAGAGCCTGCGGGTAGACGATAGACACACAAGCGCCTACGTCGTCAAGGTAACCTGTGTCCTGATCTCCTGAGACTGCATGTCGTTCCTATGGGATTAGTGAACCTATTGTCACCGGTTTGAGGTTACTAGTTGCCTGATAGCTTTGACAGCTCTGATGTTGTGAAATCACTCAAAGCTCGTCTTGTACCTTTATGGATGTGCGTCAATTGGTGTAGATTTTATTTCTCACTGTCAAATGTAGATGATGGTGTTCTTTTTTATATTGTTATCATATATCTCAAATTATTCTTGTTGGGCCTGCTCTAAAAACGCAATGCCTTGAATTTCGTTTTAATTTACTTCTTGCAGGGAAATATTTCTCTGACTTTAAATCGACCTGAAGCAGCTGTAATGGCTTTCAGAAAAGCTCAATTACTTAAGGCAGATCTTCGGTCTTATCAAGGTAGCCTTCTGCTATGTCCAGCTGGCTCCTTTCTTTTTATAAAGAGATTTCACAATCCTGGCGCTGCAGAATTCCTCGTGCACGATTCCCTTCTGTTATTGTTGCTTTCAGTTTCAGACATATTCGCAATTTGGGATAGTAACAATCAATAGTGTTGACATGTATTCATGTGATTTTCAGGACTGGTAAGAGCTTATTTAGCAATCCCAAAGCATAAGGAAGCTCTCTGTGCTGCACGCGAAGCCATGAAAGCAATGCCTCAGTCTGCGAAGGCTCTAACGCTGGTTGGGGATGTTTACGCTGCTCATCAAGACGGCCGTGACAAGGTAACCATTGAATTAAATTGCTGCAAAGAATATCAAGCTGATAAATCAGATCAAGGCTTTCTGCAGCGGCAGGGTTCTGAAATCTTCTGATTTGCAGTGGATGATAGGCATCGTTTTAAAATTGATGTATTCTTTTGCTACGAATTTCAGGCAAGAAGATTTTACGAATCAGCACTGAGATTAGAGCCAACATACCTTGGGTCTGTCTTTGCTCTGGCAGACCTGTATGGTATGGAGGGTCGTACCGAGGAAGCCATATTGCTTCTTCAGCGATATCTGAAAACTTGGGCAGATGATGCACTGCACACTAAGCTTGCGCAAATCTTTGCTGCAAGTGATAAGCTTGGCGATTCTTTGTTTCATTACCAAACTGCCCTGAGGTAAATATCCTGTTTTTTCTCACCGTCTTTTTTAACCATTTAGCTGCCTTCAAGATACTGATTCTGATATTCTACTGTCCATTGTTTTCTGCAGCATCAATCCTGCAAACGATGCAGCCAAGAAAGGCCTTGAGCGACTGGAGAAGCAAATGAAGGGTGTCGATCCAGACGCATTGGAGGAAGATGAAGAAAATGAAGGGGAAGACCCAGACGCAGATGCAGAGGAAGGTGAATTTTTGTAGCAGATACAAAAGGATTAGATTACAGAGTCCCTCAACATTTTTGCATGCGGTGGGATGTACAATATGTGCTTCTTGGTTCACCAAGAACAGACCATACACATTCTTTATAACTTGTACAGAGGTATCAAAGTTTTCCTTACGGATGTCCTTTATATCGAAGCCTTCAGGTGCCCACATTGTACTGTCTTTCAGATTTTTAAGCACACCTCCCATGTGGTAGGTAATCGGGGATACCGCCACTCAAGCTGGACACTCTCGTTTCTCTGGAAAGTTTCGGCGCATTACTCTGTTTACTTTGTAGTGGAAAAGGTGCTTGGCTTCGTAATGTTTTTTGTTCTTTTCCTGTTGTCGGTCTTTTTGCCTATCCTTCAGCTTCAGATCTGTCCTTTTGTTTCCATTACCACAACAAGACTTTTCAAAGATGAAGGCCCTGGTCTTTCAAAAACCCTTCTCTGGACTTGGAGCGATAGATGCCCTGAAGCAAGAATCCAAATATGGCATGTATGCAATATGTAAAGAGCCAATGTCTGCAGATAATCATGTTTGTGCTTGAAATGATATGGGAATTCCTATTCGCAAGAAACCATGAAATTCTATCACCACTCCGTTTTTTGCCAAAGCAAGTTATGTGATTTAGTGCATTAGTGATCTTTGAAAATTTCTCTGTTTCAGATCTTCGATTTGGTATGCAGCTTGCACTCCAAGTTGCTTTGAATGAAAATTAATCAAATTCCATATTTTTCTGCATCGATGAAGTTTTCACTTGGTAATGAATAGTCCATTACTTTAAACATCGAATTAAAATAGAGATGAGTATGCTATCCACAGAATGAAACTCACCTAAGATAACTTTTAGCTTAAATTATGTGGCTTGATACTAATGTCGAGACGTCATTTAACATTCCATTTTCATGTAAGACATAGTTGGTGGATTCATAGATAAAGTTGGAGTAAGTGGCAGTTGACATTAACTTTTGAGTAGTGCATGCATCATCTGCCCAAGTTTTTTTCGCACGTGAAATCCTTTGCAATCTCTGAATTATCTTGATAGATTGAGTTATAGGCTTTTGATTTTCTGGTGGTGCAAATTTTGTTCTCAATGACTTTAAATTTTGAACCATATTTAGTAATGTAATTCAATATCTTCTTCAAGTTGTTTTCTGGACAAATTGATCATTTTTTTACTTTTTTATAAATTAATTTTATTGCTTTCGCAAACATGGATATTAAAAAAATAACATTTATTATGGTTTTATGGTGTTGCACACGTTAAGATAAAATTAGCAATCTTCGTGGGTTGTTAGCAATGAGGAGCAAATATGAAACACCACTCATAAGTAACACTTACCCAAAAGAGTCATTTAATGAATATGTTTTTATCAGATGTTACATTTCACGAAATTGCTCCTTTTATCAAATTTTAGACATTTGATATAAAAAGTAAAGAGTAATGTAAAATATAAATCATGGATACAAAAAAGGTCAACATCTACTAACACAAAGTGGAATCATTTTCGAGTCTATCTGTTTGTTGGAAGTGTATATTGAAAAAAATGAAACATTCATCAGTAACTAATATAGACACAACAGGGTCCACACACACACACAAAAAAAAAAAAAAAAAAAAAAAAAAAAACATTGATTTTCTCTGCAAAATATTGCACGCATCTAAAACTTGCAAAATCAACAAACACATTCGAAATGAATGCATTGGAACATGCACAAAAAAATTCATAATAGTGTAATTGGAACACACACCATTATATTAAAAATAGTGTAATTGAGAAATTCTAGGAGGGGAGAGGGAAAATGAATTTAAACTTAAGATTAAAAATAGAAGAGAATACAACTTTATACAACACACAACAAGAACTTGAAACTATACAAGAACGTGACCTACAAATAAATATATGCATGTGGGTTCCAATCCCAAGGAAATGCAAAGTCTTCTAGAATCCTCCACAAACCCTAAACCCAATGCATTATCACCCAACTCTTAGCTATCCCATCACCACCCCCCCACACTACACCCCTCTTAAGAGTGAAATAAACTCTGGGCCCCAATTCAATTCTACGAATGAACGAATGAATAAACGAGTGAATGGATGAATGAAGAAAGAAAATAAATTAAGACCATGTCAATCTTCCATCCTTCCCCGAACGGATGACACACGCCCTTGCTTCATTCATCCACCAACGAATGTGGCCCCAGTCGGGCGTGATTCAATCTAGAATCTGACGAGACATCATTCATCCTATTAACTCGGCAAGTCCGCAGTTCGCGTGAGCAGACTCGAGTGGACTGAGTCCGTCCGATGAGGTCCCGATCCAAGGAGCGATCGGCTGGTATCGCGGAAGGCCGTCAGATGGACGGGGGCCGGGCAGGGGCCGTCTCTCTCGTGGGAGGACAGTGGAGGGAGGGAGGGAGGGAGGGAGGGAGAGAGAAAGGGAGACTTGGTTTTGAGAGGTGTGCCTGAGAATGGCTATGGCCGGACTGATCAAGCTTGTTCATGCCATAGCCACAACGGGGGAGGAGGAGGATGCCCTAGAGAGATAGTGGACCTGGCGGAGGACGAGGAGGAGGAGGAGGAGAAGGAGAGTGAGGAGGAGGCTTCTTATCGCCTTTCACGGGATGAGCATACGGTCTCGGCTACCTGCGTCAGGTTTTGTAACGTCAAGTAGTCGTGATCGCGGTCGTATTCGACTCGTTGGAGTGTCGTGATTTGTTTGTGAAGGTTGAGAGGTGGCAATGTGAATTGGAGGGTTAGTGAGGCGAAGTTAGCTGGAGCGGAACGAGACGGAGATTTTTTTTCAAATTTAGGTGGCGGGGTTCATGTGGAGGAAATGGCGGTGATGGCGTAGATCCGTGAGGAGGAAGAACTGCTGAAGGGTGAAGGGAGGAGGTGGCGGGGGGCAATGTGGTTGGAGTAGAGAGAAGCAAAGAGGAAGGTGAGTGAGGGTAGGGTTCGGAATAGGGCGTGTGGTGTTGGAGTGGAAGGTATGATCGCAGGAGGGGGCGCTATTGTGGCGCCCGCTCCCGGGTTGCCAATGAGCCAGCCTTTGCCTCCGCTTGAGTGGAAATTCTCGCAAGTGTTCGGAGAACGTGCTGCGGGGGAAGAAGTTCAAGAAGGTGCGGTCACATTTTATGTTTTTTGTTTCACTGATCGGAGCTCTTGATCATCCATCGCTGTTGTTGTGACTCGTGGACTGTTGCTTATTGCATTCCACTTAAGCCAGGTCTAGTCGTAGACCTTAGAAACTTCATGAGAGGAGGTGATGATGCAATGCTGGTGCACTCATTTTTTCCTGCACAGGTTCGGCACATGTCTAGACTAATGGCGTTTATTGACTCAATTGTCATATGAGGAAACGAGTGTTTGTTTCATTCGAAGCTCTGGATCCTCGTTCACGTTTCAGGATATCACTAGGGGATTTCTGTCTCAATCTTAGATCAGGTTGAAAACTTGGTTTGAATCTATTAGAACTTTTCTTTCAGCTCTGACGATGGTCTTTATCTTGAGAGCCCTAGTATTTGGTTACGCAACACCTGTTTAGACCCTGTGTGCCAATGCTTTTGAATGAGAAATTTATTTCGGGAAGAATGGTGGTCTTCACATCAAAGCTCGAAAGTTAGAAATTCGTAGGCATATCAAGCAGCTTGCACAGTGCTTCCGTGCTGGGCTCATGCCATATAGCTCCATCTCAAATAGGGCATCTATGCTCCCCTTGAGTTTCTTTCGCTGTTGCGGTTCGGTGTTGCGATAAATTCTAGGAACGAGTTGGCATACTTTAACTGGAGGCTCCTCGCCTTAATTATCTTGAACGGATTGTTTCACGATACATGTGTGTAGTACTGTTTCATGCTACATGTATGCTCTTGCCTGTAGCCATCTATACACTTTCGTTCATTGTCTCAGTGGTGAAGCATATCTTTGCAGAATTCTGTCCTTGTAAGAAATTTGTTAGTCTGTTGCTTTGGATAGTGATCTTAGACATAAGATTTTTTGATAGAATACAAAAATTTAACTTTCAGGGCGATCTTATAATTTCTTTGGAGATTAAATTTGAAAGCGTACCCAGGGTCAAGTGTTTCATCAATACTGTGCAAGTCTGGTGGCAAGCTTCTCAAGCCCTTGGATTAGGGGACCAACGTACATGCAGAGTCTGATCTGATCTGTTGAAGTCTTCGTCTTATTATAAAGTATATTGAATGTGGCAGTTGACATCATTTCCGCTATTGAATTCGACAAAACTGGGGAGCATTTAGCAACAGGTGATCGAGGCGGTCGTGTCGTTTTGTTCGAAAGAACTGATGGCAGAGATGTAAGACTCATTTCTAAAAGTGCTACTTTCATTAATATTGTGTGGTATATCAGTCCATCCCCGTCGTAGAACCGGTTGTTGAACTTTTCGTGGTTTCTATAGTCATCTGGATCACTGGAAACTTTTTCATCTTGTTTGTGTGCTGGACTGAGCAGCAACGAACTCGAAGAGAATTGGAGAGGGCGGATCATCCTGCACCCAGGCATCCCGAATATCGTTATGCGACGGAGTTTCAAAGCCATGAACCTGAGGTACGTTCTTGCACTTCTCTTGAGCGTTAGATTTCCATGTTTCACTTTATTTTTGGTTTCTACGTGTCACCTCAATCATAAGTTTCTATGTGCCAGGTGGAGCATTTTTTTCTGATTTGTTGTAGCATTGACAAGTTTGATGTCTTGAACTGTTTTGTTTGGTACTTTTTGTGCAGTTTGATTACTTGAAAAGTTTGGAAATTGAGGAGAAGATCAATAAAATCAGATGGTGCGACACTACTAATGGTGCCCGATTGCTGCTCTCCACAAATGATAAAACCATCAAACTCTGGAAGGTATGTCCTCGCTATGTCAGTACTTTTGATGGTAGCATTCTCCATTGCCGTGATTCAGGCCTTTCCTGAACTTGTTGCAGAAGAATGTCAATGTCATCTTCGCTGTGTGTCACCTAGTATTATGGTTTTTACACATAATATTAAGCAAATAGTATCATGTAAAGCTTCATGTGTAAAACCCAGCCGTGTTATTGGTATAATCCGGGATTTTCCATTAGGTAGATTAGATGAATCCCTCAGACGAATGATCCCTCAAATGATGACTTAGTGTGAGGCATGCAGCGGTTGCTTTCTAATGGCACTTGCAACAATTTCATGTATCTGTAGCTGCATGTGGCATATTCAGGTCTCAGAGAAGAAAGTGAAGAATGTTTCCAATTTGAATCTAGATCCAGCCCAACATCTGAGCAATGGAAACTCGATGGTTGCTAGCCCTGTGCCTAGCTCCAGGCCATTTTCTCCTAGGTTGATGTACGGAAACGGTGTAAAAAGACCTGTCACAAGTATCAACCCGGATTTCGTATTTCCACCTGGCGGCATTCCCTCTCTTCGTTTGCCTACGGTAATTCATTTTGTGTAGATCGAGTTGAAGGGTTTATGGATTTAGTCTAATAGCTGGGATTCGTATTATTCTGTTTCTTATTGTTGTGTTTTTGAATGTTTTATTATTTTCTAAGAGCTAATCTGGCTCAATTTGAGTAATTATTGGTTTGATTAGGGTACTGCATGGCATGTGTTTGTTGCAATTAACTGCCAAACTGCGGTGCTATGTTTTTGTTTCAGGTGTGGAGCGCTGAGACAGCGCTTTTGGCAAGATGTAGAAGAGTATATGCTAATGCCCATGCTTACCATATCAATTCCATCTCTAACAACAGGTTTGAGATAGGTCTTCTTCTGGTTTTACTTTGTTGTATTATTCAAGAGATTGATTTTGAAGCTTAATAATTTTTTAGTTCTTAAGTTTTTGTCTTCGCAAGATGCTTTCCATTGGATTTCTTCGTTTTTTTCTTCTTCATTTTCACTAGTACCTATATTTATATTGGTGGATAGTTATTCAGTCTTACTTTGAATTACATTTTTTATCTTGTTGTTTGCAGTGACTGTGAAACGTACATATCTGCTGATGATCTGAGAATTAATTTATGGAACATGGAGATCAGTGACCAAAGTTTCAATATTGTTGATATTAAGCCTGTCAATATGGAAGACCTTACAGGTGAATGCCTGATCATGATGTAGCTCTCTTTAATCAGTATTTTTCTTTAATTAACATCAAAATATACTTGTTATTGTGCAATTATTGGATGATATTTTGCATGATCATTGTTGACTGTATTGCTGGATTTGTCACATCAGAGGTCATCACATCTGCTGAGTTCCATCCAACCCATTGCAACATGTTAGCTTATAGCAGCAGCAAAGGCTCCATTCGCCTTATCGATATGCGACAATCGGCTCTTTGTGACAGACATTCTAAATTGTACGAACTCAATGCGTTTCTGAGCATTTACTAAATGAATGCTTCGATGATCTCTAGAATCTAGATTCTATGATTCGCCAGTTCCTTTCTTGCACCGATTTGTATTCACAACTCTGAGAGTGTCTTTGAGAGTGTCACTGAACTATATTAAGTGTGCGGATCATGTTTTCTATTGTATCTCCTTTACTTTATGTTTTGTCTTTTTTTAGTTCATCCTGTTCAATTCTGTGGAACATGGAGATAGATTATTAAAATTGTGGAAGTATCTGTAATCAGATTTGAGGAGGCAGAGCCTGCAGGATCACGATCATTTTTCACAGAGATCATAGCATCGATTTCGGACATCAAGTTCGCTAGAGGAGGCCGTTATATCCTAAGCAGGGACTATATGACTCTCAAGGTATGTCTGTCATGATGATCTCAAGGTTGCTGATTACACATTTGATTACGCTTGTTGGACGTTTTTACTGTGGACCAGAAAGATTTTGTCTTTCCATGCAACTTATTTTGAATATTTTCTTCCAGCGTTCATGTTCCAAGTACTTACCTTTGCTTGTGTGTTGAGCTGATAGTTGTGGGATGTGAACATGGAAGCTTCTCCTATCGCCACCTTCAAAGTACATGAATATTTGCGGCCCAAGGTGAGTGCAAACAGCGTAGGGGTTGCATTGATGGACGTCTTTTTCAAATGTTTGACGTGCGGATCATAGTTTTCAAATTTGTGGGTTAACTTCTATGTCTCTCAATCATTCCATTACAGTCTGATTTTTCACCTGTGTAAGCCTCTGTTTGGAAGGTACCAGATGCTTTGTTTGATAAATAGGTGTTGTTCTGTTATCAGCTGCAATTGGGATTGTCGGTGAGAAACAGTTAAGCTACTAATTTTGTTCAATACAGTAACAATTCAGTGGAGCTTTCTGTGTCTGCAGCTTTGTGATTTATACGAGAGCGACTCAATATTTGACAAGTTTGAGTGCTGCCTTAGTGGAGATGGTCTGCGCGTTGCCACTGGTTCTTATAGGTTTGTTACATTTCGAAAAATTACTTCCAGCATAGTTCCAGAATGGGGTCGTTGCTTTTTAAATGCGCAGATTAGTGTCGGTTGTTTAAGCGGAGGTAGATAGTTTGATCTCAACTTTAAGGGTCATTGAATGAATTTTATGTTTTTGTGTCTTGTTCTTGCATGCATTTGCTTCCTATTGTTAGACGATTGAAAGGGTTTTTACTTTTTTGATTCTCATTTAATAAACTTGTTTTTTTTGATGTGCAGCAATTTATTTCGCGTTTTTGGGGCTACTCCTGAAAATGAAGAGGCATCTACCTTAGAAGCGAGCAAAAGTCCAAATAAGTATGCTGTCAACCTTTTCTTGTATGGTGTCTTCTGTCAGACACTGCGCTTTATACCTTCGTTATACATGGCTTCTCTTTGCATTTCGTATATTTTCTTCCGGATTTAAATGTGTAGTAATCTGTACGGCGAAACTCTGACACAATTTCACTTTTCGCTATGTATGATTTGTCGTCCCAGTCGGCGGCCTGTGTTACCGTCATCAAAAACTACAAGCCGACTTGCAAATCTCGCTCGGAGTGGCCGCCTCACTAGACGAGGTATTTCTGAAGGTCTAAACTGTTTTTTTGTTGTGTGAATTTGCATATCCTCTCAAAGCTGTTTTGTGAGATCTCGTTTTTTCCATTCTAGAAATGTAACACAATGCTCATTATACCTTCAATATTCTCGATTCGTCAAGTCGTTAACAAGTATGACATTTTTAACAAACACCATCATGGAACTACTTGTGTAGTGTTCTATTGTTGTGAGATGTTTTAATCTTTTTCAAAGGGGCGGAATAGGTTCCCGTGAACACCTTGCGTAAGTTTATTTTGTCTTTCAGGTAGAATGTCGTGGCATACTCTTCGAACTGCTTCAATTCATCGTGTTTGAAGTGGTGTTTGTATCTTCTTGCTCAGTTACAGATGGTGACGGTAGCCCAGGGGTATCGGAGTTAAATGGAGGGACTTACGATTTTACGTCGAAACTGCTCCATCTAGCATGGCATCCACAAGCCAATGTGATTGCCTGTGCCGCCTCCAACAGCTTGTACATGTACTACGCCTAGGACTGACTGATCTCAACTAGGAGCTTATTTTTTAGTACCCAATATTTTTACCGCTCTCCCATGTGTGGAGTATCTACTCTTCGAACTTTGTCATCTGCGTGGTCAGATGGAGTGAAACTGGAAGGAGGTTGTCGTTTGTGAAAGCAAATGCGCTGATTGCGTTTGCCCTAATTATAAATTGGTCTGTCTAGAGTGTGAGGTACAGGCCTCGTTGGATGAATTTGGGATAGTGAGGTAGTCTGGTAAAAAGCGTGCGTCTTTTTGGAAGCTCAAATTTTTCTATTAGATCTTTGTTAGTAATTTATCTACTGCTTGCCTTACCTTGTTGCTGTTGAGGCATGGCTTATACGGCTACAAATTGCCAACATTTTGCTTCTCAGAGAAGTTTGCACTCACCGTCAAGAGACGCGTCTTGTAGTGCCCACCTTGGATGAGAGTTAGTTCTCTATTTCATTGTTATGTTCTCTTTGACTGTCCTTTGAGAGGTATAATTTCTCGTCTTGCTTAGTTGAGCAGATGACTATTAATCTGATTCTTTGGGTCCTATTGGCTTTTACACCCTCGCGTCCATTTATTTATCAATTCTTTTAGTACATTATTGATTCTTGTTGTTGGGATTGTATCTCTCTTACTTAGTTTTTGACACATTTGAGAAATGTAGCATTAATATCAGTCACATTTTATGTGATGAGCATGTCATTGCTAGGTGGTTTTATCTGTTGAGCGCGACCAAGTGGCACTTGCCTGTGACTCTGCTGGTCAAGTAATCTGGAACATGAATCTTAATTTGCATCTCTGAGGACTGATCCTGGATTATGGAAAATTTGATTGTGTAATGGGTAAGGTCCAGTTGGAGACATCTTCATGTTGAGCATTTAGGATTCAGCTAATTGTTAAGACGCAGTTTGCTTAGGGCCAAATTGGTTTACGATCTAGGCTAGGATTTTTTGTTCTTATGTTTAATAGCAATATTTGAGACCTGCAGGAGTGACTATGCGCTGGAGGTGCACGCAGATTGCAATGTTGATTTGTTGGATGACAGCAATCTGTGATCACACTGCGTAGTCAATAGTGTGACTTACTTTTGAGGTCAGCCTGCCTTTTTTCCATTTCGGTTAGCATCTTGGAGAAAACGGGCTTTATATTCGCAGGCCTGGTAGTCTACAGTTCTTGGATGTCAAAGCATGGACTCGTGAATTTTCTTATCTGTTCAGCCTGTATATTCTTTCAGAGTGGCATATTTGGCGTCATTCAATCTTCGAAGGATTTGCTCTGAACACGTGATTTTGTTTTGGTTCTACAGGAATTGTGCTTGGACCTGTCTCGTAAATGTGGGTTTTGTTAGTTGTCTGGTGGCGGCTTCAAGTTCGTGCAGAATTGCATCTGATTATCGGGATTCAGCTTTTTCTGTTTGCCATTTTTTTCGAAGCAAGAATATTGTACTGTTGACGTTGGAATCCTAGCGCGATATTTACTCGTATTCGTCTGATTGGTTGATTTAATTAATTGTTCTCTTAACACGCCTTCCTTCAGCAGATTATATTCTAACAGCGGGCGGCAGGCGACGGGGAATAGGAAGTTTGACCAGTGACGACAGCTGGACGAGTACTGTGTGGGTGAATTTTAAGTGAATTGGCGGCTCACTAGAAGCATTCGTTCTAGGGGTTGATACTCAGCCAACGTGGAGAGCGGGAAGCACAGTCTACGACCCTTTGCCCTCACAAATTGCAGTGAATGCATGGTGAGGCTTTTTCCACGTCCTCCAAATGGGTAACCAGATTTCTCCGTTGAACATACCTGGAAGTCGCACCTGGTTTTTTGAATTTTCAGTGATTTTTCTTCCACCCTGCCCTTGTCGTCTGCCCTCCCTGATGTAGTTCTGTACTTGGATTTGATTGTACTGACCCGATCAATGTCGACGCAGGCAAAATTAGAGAATTTGACTTGTAGTCTATTCATCACGTTTCACTTTCATCTAAACTAAGCTTACTGGTTGCTAGTTTTAGCTGTTCGCGTGGAGAGGAGTCAGTATTGTTCATGAACTAGGCCATTATATGTTAAGGATGGGTACTGTGATCCGAATTTTAAGATACCTGTAGTGAATTGGACGCATCACAATTTTGCAATGCTCGACGTTCTGTCTGCAACACCAGGGAAATGAAAATCGTCCAAGTACTTCTGCAGCGTGAAGAGCCGACTGTTTTAACTTAAATTTTCGTACTTGTCTACAATATCTTGGTGACTGATGAGATCTTGTAACTAATGACCACGCGGGTTGTTGATGCATGTGCCAATGACCTCCGACGAAATTCGGGTCCCCTCCCTGAGGCTCACCCGCGACCATGACATTGTGCGAGGGCATTCAAGTCCGAATCCCCAGCCAATTTGCGCGAACATGCGGATCCATCTCTGGATAATCTCAATTGTGAGGGCAGCGTTCTGTACCTCATCTCTACAGACTACTCATCCCACCATGCAATGTAGATTTTTCTGTGCAATGCCAAAAGATGGCACCAACAATCCATGTGAACTGGTGAACCATTCGTTGAAAACCTATGTTCGGGGGACTCCACCCTCAACCGTAGAACAAGGTTTGAAAAGGAGTGGAGTACTATGTGATTCTGGTTAAACCTGATGTCTTAACCTCGATGACCCCTCCAGCCATAGACTTTTCAGACGACTTAAACTGTAAAGAGTTTGGGTGGCGTTGTCCCTTTGTGCTCTCTGTTCTCTCGCGCTGATATTGACACCTAATACGCTAGAACATTTTCATGTTGGGTTCCTGAGTAGTTGAGTTTTGAGCATGGAACAGGGTGAGGCTCATGGACCTTAGCGACCTCATGCTGTTCGATCTATTGCTGGTGAGCGTCTCACCAGCATTCCACACACAAGTTTCTTCAAGTGTCGACTCTGATCCATTCTGTCAACACGATCATAAATCCTCTATTGCCTCGGTGCAAGATTTTCCATTTACAAATCCATTTCTTCAACGACTTGCTCATGAAGCATCACACAAGAAAACAACAACTAAAAGCCGAATGAGTGATATGGTTTTCGAAATTGTTGACATCAGATACTTTCTTGGGGTTAGGAAGTCTGTACCTATTGCGAAATGCTCTTTTGTTAATTGGGAAAAAACTACCACCACTACCGTGCTATTTAAACCCCATTTTTCTACTGTTGTCATTTCAGATTGTGCTTTTTTTTTTCTTTCCCTTTTGGTGCTTTGCTGATAATACCTGTACGTGTTGTTCCTTGGTCAGAAATTGAACCATGAAATTCCACACCTTCAAAAAATCTATAATGAACTAGAGTTTGGAAAGAGAAAAAAAAACAAAGATGGATAATGTTAGTATATGCATATATAAATAATTACAAAGGTATTAATTTAAAGTATCAACTTTTCTTTGCAACCTTGATTGAAAAAATTTCTTATGCAACAATAATATGTATATATGTTTTTAATATTTTTCAAGCTTATATTGGCTTTTCTTTCAATTTGAAGAAATAGGGTGAAAAATGGAATTTTAAGAAAAATTAAAATAAAATAAAATAGAATGTTACAAGCAATACTACTCATATAAAAAAGCTTCATTCTCACTTTCGAAATTGAGTTTTCACCTAAGAAATAGAGGGGATCTGGATAGGGGGAGGGAGGTTTTGGATAAGAGATGGAAGGACGTTGGGAGCAAGGGAATGGGGACAAAGGAGTTGGAAATGAAGGACGGGGGATTGGAGACAAGGAACTAGGAACAGAGAATAGAGATGGACAAAACTAATCATGAGATGGCAAGAGTGAGTGTGGCTTTAATAAAATTAGAGTGTGGCTTTAATAGCTCCTTATATATATTATTTGATTTTTAATTGAACTTTTATATATAATTTCTTAAAATTTAGCTTTCACATGTTTATTTATATTACAATCAAAACAAAACTTTCTAATATAGTTTTTAAATATTTTCTAAAATAATTTATGTTTAATTTAGTGTAAGTATAATTATTAAAAGAGATTTAAAAAATCATACATATTTTGATACAACATAATATTTAAAGACATTGAATTAAAAATATTTAAAAATTTTAAAATAAATAAACACATTAACAAACACAAGTAATAATAGTTGTGTTTTAAAGTGGAATTTTGTATGCATTAATGGCTTTGTACTATACCTTATTAAATTTATGTAAGATTTATGTATTATATTAATATTTAATTTATATCTTAATAATAAAAAATCCATTAAATAAATATTTTTTCTAATACTAAGTTTTAATAAATTATGATTTATAAAAGTTAAATAAACTATATTATTAATAATTCGTTGTCAATATTGTATTTTGAATATTCGTTAATAAATCTTAATTCCTATCAATAGAAAATATAATAATGGATCTTTTAATCTTTGTACCAACTCACAATCAATTACTTACAATATTATTTAAATGTAGTTACTTTGAAATTCTCTATGTTACTTATGCTAATGAAGCTAAAACTACATCCATTAAGAAAATAATTTCTTAAAATCCTACTAAATTACTCCATTCTTATTTAGTATGAAAGTCTATTTAAAATTTCTATTATATTATATTATATTTATATGTAAAATAAAACACAATACTAAATTTAACACTAATCATATCCTACTTTCCTACCAACAAGTGCTAAATAGCATATATGACTATTAAAAAAGAGTAGTAGATGAAATTTGGAGGAGAGATTATGTTTATAAATATATAAATACTTTGTGATTAACTATTTTCTGTACCTCACAAAATATATATTACCAAGGGTTTAATTGCTTGGTAATATCTTCGAAGTGAAGTTGGAGCTTCTAAATTAGGGTTCGGCGCCAAGGATCATACACTTCTTCGGCTCGTCTGGGAGGTGCTAAGGGGCATAATATAATGCACACGCTCCTGCCTCACTTACTGTGCATTTCGAATTTCGAATTTTGAATTGTTACCACTCAACTTGCGTCGCTCGACAACCGACATAGCCTTATTTGCAGGATACAACACTGTGCTTGAAGATCCGCTATCTCCATGGATACAGATCTTCGTGGACGCAATTTGCAACCGAGTCCGGGAACGTCGTCAGTAGATGCTGCCGTCGGTTTCGAAGAGAAGCCGCCCGGTCGCCCAAGCTTTCAGTAGAATTAGAACTCGACAGTTGGCTTGCCGTTTTAAGCAACTCATGAGTGAGAGGATTTCTGTCCGTGTCGAAGTTTAGCCAAGAGCAGTTCTCCTCGACGTGCAGGCTTGTGGACAAGACATGGTAGCCGTGGGTGTCTCTTTGGCTTTATGATACTCTAGGTTTGGATACTGCGGTAGCACGCGTTGACATTGAGCTAGATTGCCGAGCCCGGAATTGGCCGGGGATACTTGAACCCGCGATTGCCGACTACTGCGTTGCTAAACATTTGCACAGCAAATTTTGGTCAGTACTAATCGGATTGCATTATGTTTCGACACGATTATCTTCGATTGTTAAACTGTGATCAGAGAAGCGCTTACGTGCACGGTTCATGATTTGAGGTGATCTACAGTTCAATGCCAGACTTGTAAGTTAGCGACGGTAACTCCGGTTTCTTCGAAATTTAGCTTGCTATGGATGTCTCCAGCATCATATTTGTGCCTTTGAAGTGCCAGGACATATTTCACGAGAAGAATATACCTCCTCTTTCAGGCTCTGAAGATAACTTTCTGTTGTTCCGCACAATCATCGATGGCATGGATTCTCGGAAGAAGCATAATCAGTACCTATTAGAAGCTTTTTGAGGTAATCACTTCAAAAAATGTTGCTTTCGCCTTTCACCAACGTTGTTTACAAATACGTTAGCTAATTCTTCCGACTTTGCAGCCTCTAAGATCGATTTTGGGCACGAAAGGTCAGCGGGAGGTGATTCTAAATGGTTTTTGTGTGCGTCCACATCGACAGTGCATGCTGGCACTCTCTAGGGCTATTGAGACAATAATTGATCGTAACAATATTGCTAAGACAAACATATTGGCAAACAATGGATGGGAACTAAATATTGCTAAGGCAAACAAATATTGGCAAACAACCACCAACCTCGGAAAGTAGATGAAAGCTGCATCGGGGAGCGCATTTTACGCACATATCTTTCTCACCTCGAACCCTAGTTTGCGATAGCGGGAACAATAGCACTGAAATACGTACTGCAGCTAAATTCATAGCTCTGGATCCTCTCCTGCGATGCCACCTCAGTACTGCAGCCGAAAGAGGCTACGACCCCAGTTTGATTTTATTGCCGTCACAGCATACTCAACGGGAGTGATCATTGTGGGAGCAGGATATTCATGTCTACCAAACTATAGCGGAATCTTCATGCGACATTGCATGTTGATGATAACAGGAGCTTGCAACGGACATTCGTGAATTGGATTGCAACAACAGGAAGCTAAGAGTATACCCGCAAAACCAGTGCGAGAATCCTCGAATGGTGGTCAATAAACCTCACGTGTTTTGACTATAAGAGGCTCTGAAATGATTTTCCTGATTGATTGCTGACACAGATGAGAAGTTGTCGAATCACAATGTATCAGGTTCACAGGATTCCGTTGAAAACAATGTAACTGATAAACCTCTACGGTTATTATTATAATAATTATTATTCTTATTTCTTTGGAAAAGATCCATTGCTGCATCATTTTCAGACAGACCACTGACCATGTCCATCTGCTGAAAGCTTTCTGAAGAGTTCACTGACGAGACTGGAAGAGGACAAGATTTCCATCGATCAAATGAAGCGAAGGATTTGCCTTCAAAGGCAGACCACACAGTCAGTTGACAGAGAAAAAAAAAAAAAAAAAAATTAAAATAAATCGGTCTCCAGTAACATCGTTGCATGAAGCAATAACAGTGACACATTGACACGACCTTGAACTTGCCGCAGTATAACTGCCACTGACTATCATCAAAGCGAACCTAATGCATGATTTCTCTAATTCTGCAAGACGACGTTGATAACAAAATTGCAATTGAAGAAACGAAGATAAAAGCTGATCACTGATTATTACAACACCAAGATATTCTGTACACAGAAGATTATTGTAATGAGCTTGGAGTGGCCATCGGCGAG